TCCAGATCACCGAGGACCTGATCTGGCACGAACACATCTCTAAAATTGCTGCAGCTGCTGGGAAAAAGCTAGGCTATTTGTTTAGGGCTAAGAAGTACTTTTCTCCGCATGACCTTCTCACTCTATACAAGGCCCAGATAAGGCCTAGCCTCGAGTATTGCTCACACATTTGGGGTGCTGCCGCCCCGACTACATTGTCCATGCTCGATGCTGTCCAGAGGAGGGCGGTCCGACTGATCGATGACTCTTCTCTAACAGACAGTCTCGGGACTCTTTCGCACCGGCGGGCCGTCGGCGATCTAGCTCTTTTCTATCGCTACACCAATGGGCTTTGCTCCTCAGAGCTCTCTTCCATGATGCCGCCGCGCGATGTGCCTGCCAGACAGACCCGCCTGACTTCGGCGTCCCATCCCAACCGTGTCAAACTTCGTACATCCAGAACTGGCCGATACGACCGCTCCTTTATCCCGAGGGTGTCTAGATTGTGGAACAAACTACGGGAGGAAGTTTTTCCCAGTTCTACTAACCTTAGGCAGTTCAAAAATCGTATTAACAAAATTTCTTTGGGATCATCATAGCAGCCGCGGTGTTCCGGCATTTAGGCTTCTGCCTGCGCGGCTGTTTCGATATGAAAAAAAAAATACAGTAGGGTGTCCCAGCATATAAGGGCAAACAAATTGTCGTTCTGTTCCTACAATACGAGCAAAATTGTCCTTGTATCGCTCGGTATTGACTGTCATCTTCAAAGAAATACGGCCCAATAATATCGCTAAAGGACATGGCGCACCAAACAGTCACCTTTGGACTATGTAGCTGTTGTTGATGTTTCTCTTTTGGGTTCGTTGGTTTTTTGTATACTCCAACTACCACGAAGGCCCAAGGCCTAAACAGCCATTGGATACTGTGGGGCTATAGGGGGATACAAGGGAAAGGGGGTGCCCAATATCTGCAATTTTGCTTGTTCACATAACCGTCTAATAACTCGTCACTGAAAACAATGTTCTCGAGTCTGCGCTGCTTATGAATCGCCGCTCTTAAAGTAAGCAAACTACGTTGCGCTCCGGTCCAACGTTCCATTGTGACTATTTAACCCGCACGCCGAACGCGTCGATGAAGACCTCTCCCCACTTTCTCGCGTATTCGGTTGCCGCGTGATTCAAATTTGAAGTGCGAACTTTCCCATTGGACATGGATAACATATTAAACAGGATCGTCTTTTTGAAATGTCACAAAAGCGCGTTTTTACGCTGATTTCAATTGAGAATGAAGTTATTTTGAGTATAATCATCATAACAGTAGGTTGGCAAGTGACTCGCGCACTCACATGACAAATGTGATCGATCTACTATATTTTATTACTATTTGCCTGTTTTCTGAGAACAACTGAAATTTTTTTGGCACAGTATTCGCGCGTAATAGGAAAAGCGATGCCAAACTTCATGAATCTCACCTAATAGCTACTTATATATCATACTTAATTGTATATACAGGGTGCTCCTTAATGATATGCGAATATTTATTATTTTTCAAAAATTGTTGAAAATGGCCTCTACACTAAAATGCGCTGGTGCACCATCATGCATGTACCACATACAGGGTATCCGCAAAGTTAGGGTTTTCCTTTACACGACGTGTAGATCTTGAAAACATAAGCAATTTTTCTTAGTACCATATACACCACGAGCAGGGAATACCATTATCTGTATCTCCCAAAAAGAGGACGATCATGTGCATTTACAGAGATCACAGGAACAGAAGAGCAAAAAATCACCTTGGAATGTCAACAAGGATACTGGCTCGTCAATTAAGATCTAAGAGTACGATATCGTTGGAATTGAGGAGCAATGGTCTTAAATATCGAAAGAGATTTAAGTGTCCCAAATAGTCTCAAGTGCGACTCGTTCGTATACCAAGATGCAGCCGTCACTTTGCCAATGGAGTAATCATTATTTCAGATTTATCACGATTTATCACGATTTATCACGATTTATCACGATTCATCACGATTCATCACGATTCATCACGATTTATTACGATTTATTACGATTTAGTACGATTTATTACTATTTATTACTATTTATTACGATTTATTACGATTTATTACGATTTATTACGATTTATTACGATTTATTACGATTTATTACGATTTATTACGATTTATTCCGATTTATTCCGATTTATTACGATTTATTACGATTTATTCAGATTTATTACGGTTTATTACGATTTATTACGATTTATTACGATTTATTCAGATTTATTACGATTTATTCAGATTTATTACGATGTATTACGATGTATTACGATTCATTACGATTTATTACGATTTATTACGATTTATTACGATTTATCACGATTTATCACGATTTATTACGATTTATTACGATTTATTACGATTATTACGATTTATTACGATTTATTACGATTTATTACGGTTTATTACGATTTATTACGATTTATTACGATTTATTACGATTTATCACAATTTATCACGATTTATCTCGATTTATCACGATTTAACACGATTTATCACGATTTATTACGATTTATCACGATCTATCACGATCTATCACGATTTATTACGATTTATTTCGATTTATTACGATTTATTACGATTTATTACGATTTATTACGATTTATTACGATTTATTACGATTTATTACGATTTATTACGATTTATTACGATTTATTACGATTTATTACGATTTATTACGATTTATTACGATTATTACGATTTATTACGATTTGTTACGATTTGTTGCGATTTCTTTCGATTTATCACGATTTATCACGATTTATTACGATTTATTACGATTTATTACGATTTATTAAGATTTATTACGATTTATCACGATTTATCACGATTTATCACGATTTATCACGATTTATCACGATTTATCACGATTTATCACGATTTATTACGATTTATTACGATTTATTACGATTTATTACGGTTTATTACGATGTATTACGATGTATTACGATTTATTACGATTTATTACGATTTACTACGACTTATTACGATTGATTACGATTTATTACGATTTATTACGGTTTATTACGATTTATTACGATTTATTCAGATTTATTACGATTGATTACGATTTATTACGATTTATTACGATTTATTACGATTTATTACGATTTATCACGATTTATTACGATTTATTACGATTTATTACGATTTATTACGATTTATTACGATTTACTACGATTTATTACGATTTATTACGATTTCTTAAATGGACAACGTAGAGGAATTCCCTGGCAACGTTAGTTACAAACATAAAGCGAAATTTGCAAATAAAATCCTTGTCTAGTGCGAAATTTCTAAAAGGGGTGTATCCCAACCTTTTGTGGGAAGAGTGAAGGGTGAGGCTTTGAATAGTCAGAGCTAATGTTGATAACTGCCTTTCCAAATCGCTTCAGTTTGTCTACGAACATCATGCTAATGATGAAAAACTTACAGGACATACATTATTATAAAAAATTGTCATTTTTTCAAACGGAATTAATGCACATTCAAATAGACCAGCAAGCAGCTTTTGAGTTGCGACTAAACTCCGTACCTATCATAAAACGGTGTATTTTGGTCTGAAAAAGAGGAAGATATTTTTGGACAAAAGTTCACATGTCGCGCATACATACTCGGAAACGTACAAAATAAATCTTTAGAAATGCGGCTACCGGTGATTTAACGCCTATTTCTCGCAAATCTAATTTACAGCTTGTTTACCTTCGAAATTCATGTCAACGACTAACGCGAGGTATTTTATAGTTCTTGGCATGAGTCAAAAACTAAAAGTACCACGCGGGATTAGCCGCAATACCCTAGAGGTTCTTACCCACTAAGAATTACGAGGCGTGGCGGAAAATTTCACAAAAGGATTCGTACACGACATCGCAGTCATTGATTAAGGACGAAACTTTTAATCTGGCGGTTAAGGTTTACAGAGTCATTTAACATTTATTCTCGTATGCAAGCATTGTCGGAAAGTAGGCCTAACATTATAAAATGTAAATTACAGTAAGTTTGTTTGAAAAAATGAAGAGAGGAAGGAAATATTGAAAAAAAACAGTATAAAGTAATATATATATATATATATATACCTATACCTATATATATATATATATATATATATATATATATATATATATATATATATAGGTGAAAAATTAAAGCTTCCGCCTTTTATTGGGTACTTCGACAAAATTTAAGCAAACAGGACTCTTTATACTTTTTTAATTCTCTCTAGCTTTCAATGGACTTTGCCATCATCATCAGGGGCTGCAATTACAATGATAACAGTAGCAACAAAAGTGTAAAATGAATTTGAATTGACTCAACTTACAATAGTATGTGAGGATGTTGCTAATTGTTGTTTACGTATAGGATGAGGGAAACGTCCAGTAACATGGTGAGAGCTGGATAGATGGTACAATGGTCAAAATTATATAAAATATGACAAGAACAAGTTAAAAACAGTTGAGTCAATTCAAATTCATTTTACACTTTTGTTGCTACTGTTATCATTGTAATTGCAGCTCCTGATGATGATGGCAAAGTCCATTGAAAGCTAGAGAGAATTAAAAATGTATAAAGAGTCCTCTTTGCTTAAATTTTGTCGAAGTACCCAACAAAAGGCGGAAGCTTTAATTTTTCACCTAACTGGTCTAGACGACAATGAACACGTCTCAAAATATATATGTATATATATATATATATATGTATATATGCATATAAAAAACAATCCTGGAAACAAAGTAGAAAAAAGGAAAAATAAGTAAAAAGTATTGGTTAAAAAAAGCAATATGTGTTCGCATACTCTATGTAATACTAGAAATAATACAGTGGTAATATTAAGTAATGGATGTTCTATTTTCTATTAAAGCATAGCATTATACTGAACGTAAGGATCTGGCCAGTTGGTCATCGACCAGTGCAAATAACAGAACAAAAAAAAAGTCACGAGTTGATTTAGAATCCTCTTTTGTTACAGATTTCTCAGAGTCTGCAAGTGATAAGGGTTCGCTGCCCACGGACGACTGCAGCCTGAAGGATCTAGAAAATAATAGAAATTCCAGAATACCTCCTCAACTGGATCTCATTCCTCCACCGCCAACGACAAACAACAGAAAATCTCCGCTGGTAAGTCCAAAATTTACATACAGTACGTTGCGAATAATATTGCACAATTCAAGGATTGTAGAAAGTTCCTTTTTAACCTGAACAACATTTAAATGTATTTCATTTTCTTTACGTCAGTTTTACATCTGGAATATACAGGGTGTCCCGAAAGTTGGAATTGTCCTTTACGCGGATTGTAGTACTTGGACAGTCTGAAGATTACTGAACCTTTACACATGTTGAAACGTAAGCTCTCTATTGTTATTTAATTTACTAAATTCGACATACATAAACTATGTATGATTTGTACTTCAAAGTACATACATATACATAACATATATAATCTTACCATTTTGTAAAAAATTCCGGACTATAGGGGGTCTCAGGCGGTGCTCTATAATCCGACAAATTCGATAGTCCGACACTGCCCTGCATAATGTTTGTCGGATTACCGGAGGTCCACTGTAGTGGAAAATCGTCATAATGTTTTTCATAAATGGTGAATGAGCGAACTTTCATCGGCTGGACATTCACCATATTTTTAAATTGTACACACAAGGTAGCACTTTCACCATTTTTTAAAAATCCTTGCTCCATGTGCTTTTTTCAATCTTCAACCATCAATTATTAATATGGAAAGCGTGTTATGCTTATAATATTCTTCAAATATTTTAAACAGCTCCATTTCAACTGGACGAGTGTTGTTGATGTGGCATCCAAAGTCCAAAAATCCTCTATTGGGCGAGGCTGCGGCAAGTTTTGCGGATCTCTCGTAAGGGAATGAATTTTTTGTCAAAACTTTTAGCACATACGTTACGGCATAACCAATGAGGTGGAAGAAGTTGCTGAAGATTCTATGTAGTGGAAAATCGTCATAATGTTTTTCATAAATGGTGAATGAGCGAACTTTCACAAGCTGGACATTCACCATATTTTTAAATTGTACACACACACACACACACAAAGGTATCACTTTCACCATCTTTTAAAAATCCTTGCTCCATCTTTTAAAAATCCTTGCTCCCTGTGCTCTTTTCAATCTTCAACGATCAATTATTAATATCGAAAGCGTGTTACGCTTATAATATTCTTCAAATATTTTAAACAGCTCCATTTCAACTGGACGAGTGTTGTTGATATTGCATCCAAAGTCCAAAAATCCTCTATTGGGCAAGTTTTGCTGATCTCTCGTAAGCCAATGAATTTTGTTCCAAAACTTTTAGCCCATACGTTACGGCATAACCAATGAGGTGGAAGAAGTTGCTGAAAATTCTATTTTCTATGAGCTAATTGTATGAACCTGTTCGACTAACCTTTTTCTCAGAGGTTCTAGTTTGTGATGAACATAATCCTTCATGGCCTGAAGACAGCCCAGTGTGGGAAGTACGCCGCTATTTTTTCTTGCGTCAAAGCCATAAAAATATAATAGCGTTCCTAATCAATCTAATGGGTCAGAAAAAGAGGAAGAGCGTAAAACGCCGTACTTCCGAGCTCCACAGAAAGAAAAACACACCAGAGCAATTACCCAGCAGCGATGTAATGAACCGTGCAAAAACGGTAAATCATCTTCTGTTCTTTTTGTCTGTTTTATGCCCTTGTAATTCGCTTCCTTAACGAAGTTCTGGCCGCTCAGACATTCAGATGAGCGAAAGGGATCAAAGGAGCAGGAAATTTGCATTCAAGACTACGTTCAGTAACCTTTTATTCGTGGGAAATGCGAAATGCAAACGCGTGTTATCCCAGGTCGGCGCATTTTGAAGCAGGAGCAGACTTCTCTATTGCATAGAGATAAAGTTTAAACGTATCATCGCGACATTTTTGTATTGAGGAGCAAGTATGAACACGATAATTTAACGATGCATGTCCGCAGTAAATGAACGGGATCAAGTAGTACCCCGTTTCCCGGCCAAACCCACGAGTTCGAAACATGCACGCAGCGAAGAAAAGCGCCTCACCGCGCTCTCCCACCACCTACCTTCTCTCCGGCTCCTGGCATACAAACTCTCATTTTCTTCAAAGCCAAGTTGTTGCAACAATTGGGTGATACATAGGGAGAGTGCTATTTAGTTCGACGAGGCCTACACATAATTAAGATCGAACTTCACTAACAGGTGAATTCGTTTGAATATGCAATCATGTTCCTGCCTCGTCTCGTAACTAGAACAGGTGTAGTACCCCCGTTTCCTGGCAAAATCCACGATTCAAAGCGGGCACGCAGCGAAGAAAAGTGGCTCACCGGGCCCTTCTACCTTCCTCCTCCCCGGCCCCTAGCCCACAAACTTCCTTTTTCTTCAAAGCCTAGTTGTTGCAACAATTGGGTGATACATAGGGAGAGAGCTATTTACTTCGACGAGGCCTACACATAATTAAGATCGAACTTCACTAACAGGTGAGTTCGTTTGATTATGCAATCATGTTCCTGCCTCGTCTCGTAACTAGAACAGGTGTAGTACCCCGTTTCCTGGCAAAATCCACGATTTCAAAGCGGGCACGCAGCGAAGAAAAGCGGCTCACCGCGCCCTTCTACCTTCCTCCTCCCCGGCCCCTAGCCTACAAACTTCCTTTTTCTTTAAAGCCTAGTTGTTGCAACAATTGGGTGATACATAGGGAGAGAGCTATTTACTTCGACGAGGCCTATACATAATTAAGATCGAACTTCACTAACAGGTGAGTTCGTTGATCATGTAATCATGTTCCTGCCTCGTCTCGTAACTAGAACAGGTGTAGTACCCCGTTTCCTGGCAAAATCCACGAGTTCAAAGCGGGCACGCCGCGAAGAAAAGCGGCTCACCGCGCCCTCCTACCTCCTTCCTCTCCGGCCCTGGCCTACAAACTTCCATTTTCTTTAAAGCCTAGTTGTTGCAACAATTGGGTGATACATAGGGAGAGAGCTATTTACTTCGACGAGGCCTATACATAATTAAGATCGAACTTCACTAACAGGTGAGTTCGTTTGATCATGTAATCATGTTCCTGCCTCGTCTCGTAACTAGAACAGGTGTAGTACCCCGTTTCCTGGCAAAATCCACGAGTTCAAAGCGGGCACGCAGCGAAGAAAAGCGGCTCACCGCGCCCTCCTACCTCCTTCCTCTCCGGCCCCTGGCCTACAAACTTCCATTTTCTTTAAAGCCAAGTTGTTGCAACAATTGGGTGATACATAGGAAGAGTGCTATTTACTTCGACGAGGCCTTCACATAATTAAGATCGAACGTCACTTACATGTAAGTTTCTTTGATCATGTATTTATGTTCCGGCCTCATCTCGTAAATAGAACAGGTGTAGTACCCCGCTTTCCAGCCAGACCCACGAATTCAAATCGCGCACACAGCGAAGAATAGCGGCTCACCGGACCCTCCCAGCTTCCCCCTCGCCGGCTCCTGGTCTACAAACTCGGATTTTCTTCAAAGCCTAGTTGTTGCAACAATTGGGTGATGCACAGGGAGAGAGCTATTTACTTCGACGAGGCCTACACGTAATTAAGATCGAACTTCACTAACAGGTGAGTTCGTTTGATCATGTAATTATGTTCCGGCCTCGTCTCGTAACTAAAACAGGTGTAGTACCCCGTTTTCCAGCCAGACCCACGAGTTCAAATCGCGCACGCAGCTAAGAAGACAATTGGGTGATACATAGGGAGAGATGGAACTATTTTCTTCGACGAGGCCTTCACAAGATCGAACATTATATGTTCTGGCCTCGTCTCGTAAATAGAATATGATCTCCAGCAATTTGGAGAAATTTCAATTATCAGGAAATGTATTGGTTGTTATAGTGAGATTGAATATCTTTAATAATGGTTTAACAAAGTCATGAATACCATCTTTGACTATGAACGAGGGGTGTTGTCTGTTCCGACCGTTATTCTATTCTTGAGTTTTTTGGATTGAAAGATATGATACAATGATATAGTAGCAGTAATATCCATTTGATGCTCAACCAGGTATTTGCTTTTAGCCAAGAATCTGCCCAAAATACAACACACTGTACAGGCGTGGCTCCTTATCTATTAAAATTCTCTGGCTCTGTTAAACAACGATATCTCTGAGTTTTGCTTGTTCCAGACTTCCGGCGAGACGTACTCGTCCCCCCACTCGGACACGCTGCTGTCAGCTGCGAACGGCGCCGGTGGGGGTAACAGCGATGGGGGTAGTTGCAACGCGTTGCCTCCACCTGGCTCGGCGCTGTCCGCACATCACGAGCTACAACTGATGCGCGAACAGCTCGAGCAACAAACGCAGCAGACTCAGGCGGCCATGGCGCAGCTGCAGCTCGCCCGGGAACAGCTGCAAGCTGAACAGGTAAAGTGATAATGTCTTTGAAATTCATAGAGTCGAAATTTATCTTTGGTCATACAATGTAATGTCAAATAGTAGTTATACCAAGAGAAGATAGACAAGGTGATAGAGGTAGAGATTTGTACATGGAGTAGTTTGAGTTAGTCACCATTAAAAACTTCGATTTCAAGCTGAAACAATGTTTTATTTTTTTTTTGTCAAAAATGCATTTTATTGGGCATTCTTTCTTCAATCGGAACTTGTCAACAAATGTAAGTACGGCTCTGAAATTGCGTGTGAATATTCCGCTTTCATGGAAGAATGAAAGAAGTGATTACTTTTGTTCTCATCACTTTTTTTTCCGAAAAATCTTTGATTTTCTTGAAGCCTGGTCTCGCAGCAAGTCGAGTTTTCAAGAAAAGCCAAGATTTTTCGAAGAGAAAAAGTGACAAGAATGAAAGTAATTACTTGTTTCATTCATCCATAAAGTGGAATATTCACATACAATTTGAGAGCTGTACTAATATTTGTTAACAAGTTACGATCGAAGAAAAAATCCACAATACAATTAAAAACGATTCATCTCTATATTCATCATCAAGTAGGTAATCAGGTGAAAAGGATTTCTGTGTTCTATGAAATTTTGTAAAGTAACTGCCAAAAAACAGTGTTTTTTGTTTAACATAGTAAATAAATAATAAATTCATTTATTTTCCATACGACTATACAATCTTAGTATCGGAAGTGTCTTTAAGAATGAAATTTAGTGGTTTAAAAAACATTGTCTGGTCATTAAAAAAACAAGCAATACTAAAAATTTCACAAACGAAAATAATACATATACAGGGTGGCCCAACGCAAAGGTCGAACCCCTATTTGTGAGTCGTCTGGTATATTTTGGGAAAAAACGTCCGGTCACGTCAATTTTGATTTCTAGGGGACGTCTTTTCATCTATAGCCGTACAATCCAGGGTGATCCAAAAATAAGATATTGCGTTTCACTTTAGATTCTTAAATGGAAGCACCCATTTTTTTTTGTAACTTTTGTATAATAAAGTTTATACCTATCTTCAATAGTTGTCAATCTATTTGAATTTATAATAAATTTTTTGGGGGGGGGGCTTCCAAAGTATAACGCAGTATCTTATTTTTGGATTACCCTGTATTGTACGGCTATAGATGAAAAGACGTACGTCCCCCTATAAATCAAAAACGACGTGTACAAGCGTTTTTTCTAAAATACAAATGAAAAGCATCAGTGGTAAATAAATAAAACAACTGTGCTATTCAAAACAGCTGCTTAACTATTCTGAAACGTTATAGAAGGGATTGCTAAACATATTGTCCTTAACCTTTGCTTTAACTAGACGAAAAATGGTTATACCCTTTATGCAAGCGATTATAAAGTCTTATTGCTATAACTGTGGAACCTTTGGCGGTCAATGATAATCTATAAGTATAAATGTTTCAGTTTATAAACATTTTCCGTCAGTTTGGCAACATTGCCGCGGTAGATGCCGAGAGCCATCTATGAACGAACCGTCAAACCAAAGGAGGTTCGCGCATAGATCGCTGTATTTTTGTTGTAAATCAGTAATGCAGGCTCAATCTAAAGGTCAATTGAGTGGACTAACGGGATATAAAAACGTTCCTATAACTGTGGAACCTTTGGCGGTCAACGATAATCTATAAGTATAAATGTTTCAGTTTCTAAACATTTTCTGTCAGCTTGGCAACATTGCCGCGGTAGATGCCGAGCCATCTATGAGCGAACCGTCAAACCAAAGGAGGTTCGCTCATAGATCGCTGTATTTTTGTTGTAAATCAGTAATGCAGGCTCAATCTAAGGTCAATTGAGTGGACTAACGGGATATAAAAAAAATTCCTATAACTGTGGAACCTTTGGCGGTCAATGATAATCTATAAGTATAAATGTTTCAGTTTCTAAACATTTTCTGTCAGTTTGGCAACATTGCCGCGGTAGATGCCGAGCCATCTATGAACGAACCGTCAAACCAAAGGAGGTTCGCGCATAGATCGCTGTATTTTTGTTGTAAATCAGTAATGCAGGCTCAATCTAAGGTCAATTGAGTGGACTAACGGGATATAAAAACATTCCTATAACTGTGGAACCTTTGGCGGTCAATGATAATCTATAAGTATAAATGTTTCAGTTTCTAAACATTTTCTGTCAGTTTGGCAACATTGCCGCGGTAGATGCCGAGCCATCTATGAACGAACCGTCAAACCAAAGGAGGTTCGCGCATAGATCGCTGCATTTTTGTTGTAAATCAGTAATGCAGGCTCAATCTAAGGTCAATTGAGTGGACTAACGGGATATAAAAACATTCCTATAACTGTGGAACCTTTGGCGGTCAATGATAATCTATAAGTATAAATGTTTCAGTTTCTAAACATTTTCTGTTAGTTTGGCAACATTGCCGCGGTAGATGCCGAGGCATCTATGAGCGAACCGTCAAATCAAAGGAGGTTCGCTCATAGATCGCTGTATTTTTGTTGTAAATCAGTAATGCAAGCTCAATCTAAGGTCAATTGAGCGGACTAACGGGATATAAAAACATTCCTATAACTGTGGAACCTTTAGCGGTCAATGATAATCTATAAGTATAAATGTTTCAGTTTCTAAACATTTTCTGTCAGTTTGGCAACATTGCCGGCGTAGATGCCGAGCCATCTATGAGCGAACCGTCAAACCAAAGGAGGTTCGCTCATAGATCGCTGTATTTTTGTTGTAAATCAGTAATGCAGGCTCAATCTAAGGTCAATTGAGTGGACTAACAGGACATAAAAACATTCCTTTCCTTGGTATACTATGGTAAACTTGGGTACCGAAAAGGAAGATAACAGCAACGTCTCCTTGTTTGTCAATTTTACAGTAGCGTGCGATGTGTCTTGATGTCTCTTCCTTTTCGGTACCACGTTATTACAACCTGTTGCGTTCGTGATAACAGCGCCACCTAGAAGATGTCGTGTATCAATATTTGTGGTTGACATATAAAAGTAAACGGATGTCAACGAAAACGATCGTTAGGTAAAATGATAGTGAGTCGGTATCGGGGTATACGACGCAAAAGTGAAAAACAGGCATCTACTTCGTTCCAGGCGGCAAGACTGGAGGCCCAAGCACGCACCCACCAACTGCTCGTGCACAATCGCGAGCTGTTGGACCACATCGCCGCATTGGTGGCACATCTTCAAGGAGGAGATAAACAGGGACAACAGCAGACGCCCCCGCATATGACCATGCCGCAGGTAGGTTGCTTAGTTTGATGATAAAGCATGATGATAGATGTGTACCTTGTGTGTTTTTATTTTATTTTTGCGCTTCATGGCTTGCTGAGAAATAACACATTTTAATAAACATTGAATTTTTTTGTGAAAAATATAAGTTCATAGAGGGCTCAAAGTTCGGGGCAATAAACTGTACTGCATTTCTTTTGTGAAAATCATAATTTCAGAGACGTTTGGGGCATCTCAAACTCCTCTGTCTTTATCCATTGTTTGATATCCTGCCTCTTATTATTAACAGGAACGTTGGAATGCGTCGTGTGTGTATTGCCGCAAATGTTTATATATTTTTTTTTTAGTACCCCTAAAAACTATGGAATGAGCAAAAAATTAATTTTGAGAATCAAGGTAAAATATCAGACAAGTTTAGACAAATTTTATAATGCATCCTACATATCAAAATACTTCTAACGTTTCCCATCAATGTTCGGGAGCATACTTTGTGATAATACAAGTCCGTTGCGCAGAAAATCATTTCATTTGCCGCACTCTTTTCACTTTTCAGAGCTTTTCAGGCTGCCGGAGCAAATTATATTATACGTACAGAGGCTTATGGGATTTATCAGTGCAATCTCTCCGGTCCTATCATCCTGTTTCATTTCACACTGAAATCCTTCGTCGAATAGGAGTTTTCTATAATCCCCTTGCATTGATCGAACTGGAGAAGAAATTCGGGTTCGATCGATGGTCGAGTTCGTTACGGCTGATCTCAGGCCGGATCGTCGAGGACTTGATCTGACACGAACATATCAAGTCAATAGCGGCAGCTGCTGGGGAAACCTAGATTATGCACAGCACGCGTGGTTCCTTGGTACAGGTTGGGTCATTAAAATGAGCGGAGGAATTATCCTGGACTGCAAACCGAACTGGAGGGAGCTTGTTGAATGCAAGGTTAACAAGGCTCGCTATTCAATTACGTGTTGTCGGTGTGAAGTGGGGGCTTAAACTCAAACCGGCTCTAAACGACGTTAGTACGTTTTTGTAGAATGGTCTCTGAGATTATTCAGGGCGCTCTGCGCACTGTGGAATCGTGTTGTAGGAAGGTCTATCTTCCTGTCAACGCTGGAAAGACCGAGCTGATTCTATTCACTAGGAGAAGGAATCCTGACGGGCTGGTCTTGCCGATCTTCTTTGGGACTAGGCTAGTTCTATTCCTATCAGCAAAATATCTAAGAATCATCCTGGACTGTAAACTGAACGGGAGATAGCATGTTGAAGGTTAACAAGGCTCGCACTTCAATGTGGGCTTGCAGAAGTGTTGCCGGGGTGAGGTGGAGCTTAAACCCAAAGTGGTGCGCTGGGTCTACACGACGATAGTACGCCCATCTCTTTTGTCCGCCTCCCTGGTTTGGTGGCCTTGCATTGGAACTGATACAACTAAGGCCAAACTCAATAAAATTCAGCGTTTGGCCTGTATTAGTATTACAAGCGCTGCGCGAACAACGCCATTGAGTGCAATGGAAGCTCTGTTGGATTTCCCACCGTTGGATCTGGTGATCCGCGGTGAAGCGAGAGTAGTCGCTCATCGACTGTGGAGTCAGGGCAGCTGGGCTTTCTTGAATCCTGTCAAGGGGCATACTGCCATCTTAGTCGAATTACAAAGGGAGGACCCCGTCCTTCTAAGCAGGGGTGATCGTATTACCCCTAAATATCGCTTCAACCGCAAGTTTATTGTGGAGTATCCAACGAGGGAGGAGTGGGACGCCGATAGCCGGAGGCTCTTCGGAGTGAGCGGGCAGGTCTGGTACACGGACGGCTCGGTCACCGAAGAGGGCTCAAGTGCTGAGGTCTCTGGGTCTAGAACTAGGCTATCTCTGTCTCTCGGTGGATACACCACCATTTTCCAGGCGGAAATCTTTGCGAGTCTGGCTTGTGTATCTCACATTCTGGAGGAGGGTGGGCCTAGGAGAAGAATAACAATCTTATCCGACAGCCAGGCTGCAATGAAACCACTAAGTGCCTGTAAGATTAGTTCGAGTCTTGTATTGCAATGCAGGGAGGCTCTGGATTACCTCGCAGCGAGGCATCCGTTATCGTTAATATGGGTACCGGGGCACGCTGGGATAAGGGGCAATGAGACGGAGGACACTTTGGCGAAGACAGGATCAGCCAGCAACCTCGTTGGTCCTGAGCTAGCTCTAGGAGTGACCGCGCATAAAGCTAGGAGGAAAATGGAGACGTGGGTTGCAAGACAACACTCTCAGAAATGGAGAAGTATCTCCAGACATCTCCGCCAGCCACCAGAACTCATTGTAGGGCCCAGCGCTAAGGATAGACGTTTCTGTTTATCTTTGGATAGAACCAACCTAAGGTTGCTGGTGGGACTGTTGTCTGGCCATAACACGATAAGGCGCCACCTGCACGTAATGGGGGTGGCTGAGGATCCCTTCTGTGAGCGCTGCGGGGTAGAGGAAGAAACCTCGGCGCACGTTGTGTCGCTGTGAAGCTCTACGCTACTACTGGGGTCCATTACTTTGGACTCAAATGAAAATGAGCTTTATCAGAAAATGGAATATTGTTCAAACTTGAAAAGCGCTCTAACATTGTTTCGGCAAACGCACGTCGTAGATGGTCCTGCGGTTTCATTTCCTGCACTAGTTGAAGTTTATAAGGTCTTTTACGAAAATACGCCTTACAGATATTCTTGATATGGCGAGATTAGCGGATCACTTCCGGGACGCGCCGTACGGATGGCGCAACATCGCTTACAATTTCCGCGTTCGTATTGACCTTGGACACCCCGTAGGCTTCTGATTCAGTGTCGAACCGGTAGACTCGAACTTCATAACCCACGACCTGATCACACTTTCAGCAAGACATTGATTTGGATCTTGTAAACTAAACTCGGAGCGAAACAGACGCGCGATAGTGCACGATCTCTATTTTTGTTATAAGCCTTAACGCACAACGCGGGGTGAAACGCTCCATGGCGACTAAATTTCCGAGCCTCAGGCTACTTATCCCCATACCCGTGCTTGACACGGTTTTGAAATTCGTACGTCTTTCTGGTCCAGATGCTTCGTTATAAAAGAAACTATTAGTTTTGTATATAAGCTAGTCTGACTACGTTTTTCGAATAACATGAAACGAAAACCAACCAAATAACAACAAAACAATTTGTTTACTGTTGAACTCTGTAAAATAGATTGTACTATTGTACGTTGACAATATCCTTCTTCCTAACATCGTCGTCGTCTGTGTAGGCAGCGTAAGCGCCCAACTTAATCGCTTGTAGGTTTCGCACCCCGCATTGACAGTTTAATCCTCGCGCGTCTCCTGAGTCGAACCCGCATTATAATTGGCGAATGGGTAGGACGAAACGCACTTCCTTCTCTAAGTTCAATCAATATCCTCTTTCTATACCGCCTCACTCCTCCTTGGATCTTCTCGCGATGTTATTTCTTCCAATTTGCGTTCACATACAGGGTTGTCAACTGGAAACCTATCCGTCGTAGAGGCAAAAATTTTGATATTATTGTGCGTATTAATGCAGTATTTCAATAGCGGTGGAAGAGGAAGTCTGTTTCCATGGCCTCCGCGATCACGAGACTTGACTTGTCTTGATTTGTGAACGGTTAAAGGACATCGTGTTTCAGATTAAGGGATTTTCGTATAAATTTTGTTTGCCCTAAATTTTAGGGTAGGAACAAGATATCGATATGCAGTTTTCGAGATCTTGTTTAGACATAATTTAGCTACTTTTTCATAAAAAAGATCATACCAAAGCATGTAATGTTTTTGAAAAAATTAACCATTTATGTCCGAATGTCGAAAAAAGCCCTCTAGCCATTTCGATGATAAAGGGTGTTTCTGACGGAAACCTTTGCATACCCCCCACCAGCTTAGTTTTAGAGATACAGTAAAAATTTTCAAACCAAAAATGTTCAGATTATCTTGGACTTCACAGGTAAGGTACTACGTGGAATTCGCGAATAAGGAAAAATATAAAATAAAATTGTAACTTTGACACCCTGTATCTCGCAAACTATCAAATTTTGGACTAAGGTATGTTCAGGTCAATTCACATATTTTGATCTGTAGTATCTCCAGTTTCAAAATTTCCCAACTTTTCGCAGACACGCTGTATATGTATGGTCGACCTACTTTTTCTATATTTTTTAATTATCTGCTATCGCTAACACATATTATCGCAAGCAGCTATTTTTTCTGATTTTGGAAGCTTATTTAGAAAAATATCGGAGCTATCAGCTGATATTTTTCATAATATCTCCAACATCAGTGCTTTTCAAAAGAACATGAACACCTAGATGCACCAGGGGATGCACCCAAGGTCATTAAACACATGTGATGCTCTGTGTTGTGAGTTTTCGGCTTATTTCTTTGTGCGCAGGTCTGTAGCAATAACCTGGATAACAATAACTTGCTGCTGGATGCCTTCTCCAAGATTAGATGTTAGGTAATTATCATTCTTTATATAGCCTACGAGAATCATCTCAAAAGTACACTATTTTTCTTCCAATCCCAGGATATCCGAATATAGTGACAACACTGTAAAGTTATGGACGTGTGTCGGTCGGTCCGCGGACTAATTGGTTAGGTCTGCTCCACGGAACAGAGAAATTCATATACGAGGTTGTCTAAAAAATGAGGCATTTTTTTCAGGCACAAGGAATTTTTTATTTGAAAAAACTAATTTACCATCGGAAACGTTGATCTTTAAACTATTTTCCTACACAGTCGCCATTTTTTCCACGCATTCTTTTAGACGTGGAATCCACCTGTCGGTGACGGCGCTGAAGATCTCCATTGCGCATGATTGTCACGCCAGTACTGAGCGTCGCCAATTGGCGCTTCTTGTCGGGCTCGGTGGTGGGTGAGCCGACAAACACGGCGGTGTTGCCAGTTTTCGCCTAGCATCACGCGTGCAATACGTATGTTAGAAAGAGAAAGAAACACCGCGATTCCGTCGTCAGTGATTTCTCTGTATAGTTGTTTTTGCGTGTCTTGTGTTTCTGAAGCGTCTAGATTTTTTCGCTGACCGTACTAATTTCAAAAAATAGTGTATTCTATTCTTGAGATGATTCTCAAGTGATTCACCCAGAAACCTTTGTATCTTTCAGTTATAAATCGTACTTCTCCCAGTATTCTGCAAAATTGTTCGGGCATTTCACGTGTAGATGAGAATTAAAAAAATGTGACTTTTTCAAATTCGTTCAGATTGGGCGTATTTGTAACGTCCAGTGGGTGTGAAAAAGAAAGCAAAGGCTTTTGGATGACTTGTATCAAATCTTTTTTCCATTTCTGATAATTTCTCATCACTTTCCCAATAGAACCAACACCAGATGGCAATGTCCGACGGTTACGACACCTCCGAGCCTTCCTCTTCGGTAGACAGCAGTCCGGTACTGCCTCCCTTCAGTTACATACCTCATAGCCTCATCGAGAACAGGGCTGCTGTTGCGTCTTGCCTTCAACCTTCCTCACCTTTAAGAACCACCTTCAACCCTGCAGCGTTCCCTTTCGGGTACGCCCCTGGGGAAGGTGCTTCATTCGAGGCGCAACTCTTGCAGAGGTTACAAACGCTAGGTAGTTACCCTGCGTATCATCAAGCGTACTACCCGCCTTATGTGCCTCCGATGTACGGGTCGCAAACTTTGTTGAACAATAGTTACACTTTGCAGCCTCCGCCACAAAAAAAGATGGCGCCGCAGTCGCCGATGATGCCTAGGAATTCGTATGCAGGTAGTACTTCGGTGCAAGGAACCAGGTTGAGTCCCGCGAGGAATAGCGAACCTAGGCAATTGCCCACGCAGTACCAGAATTTGAATCTGAGAGTCAATGATCACCAGACCTATCAGACGCAAAGTAGTACCTGCCAGTCTCATAATAGCGCTTGCCAAAATCAACAGTACCCAGCTCAGAACGTAAATTGTACGAGGTCGAATGACCAACAATTTCAAAGGCAGCAGTACCAGCAAAACACCAATCAAAACCAACTTCGGGTACAACCTAACAACAGGCAGCAAAGAGAAACCACTCCGGTACCCCAAACCCCAAATGAAAAGAAGCAAACTCAGTTTATTAAACCTCAAGCTCAGATGGGTACTTTAACTACTACAGATTCTGACGGAAGAATGAGGGTGATAGTACCGGTACCCTCCAACTCAAATGATAATAATGAAATGATGAGTAACTTGAGGCTAGACGATACTGGGCACTCTCATAGTTCTCCAGTTACTAGGTCGAAGAGCGAGAAAGTACCAAACAGGAGTCAACTGATGGCTGAAGTGCATAGAACTATTTGGGCACGACACACTACAAAGTAGTACCCATCACAGTTATCCCCAGGTAAGAAGATGCAATACTAGATAGTTCTTCTATTGGGGATCTTAAGACAAAGACACTTTGGCCTCTACAGACGTTTGAGCTACTCGTCGTACCATCAAGGGCACTATCAGCCTGTTGGGCCTCCAATCTACGGTTTTCAGCCTTTAATAAACCCTCAATAGCCACCACCTCATCAGAAGATGGCATTTTAGTCGCCGATTATCTCCAGGAGCTCGTATGCAGGCAGTACTCAAGTACAAGGAAGTAGGTTGAGTCCTGTAAGAAATAGCGAGACTACTCTGTTCAGAATTTGAATTTAAGGGTCAACGATATTCAAATACAAAATCGTTTCTGTCAATAACAATCTCAAAGTAGTACTTTGCCAAAATCAACAATATCAAGCTCAGGACGCAAACAGTACGAGGTCGAATTACTTACCGACAGTCGCATCTGCGGGTACAAAGAGAACCCTCTCCGGTACCCCAACCTCCAAAATGAAAAGAAGCAAAAGCAAACGCATTTCATCAAACCTCAAGCTCAGATGGGTACTTTATCTACTCTACAGATTGTGATGGAAGAATGAAGGTGATAGTACCGGCACCGTCAGACTTGAATGATAAAACTGAAATGATGAGTAACTTGAGGTTAGATGATATGGGATATTCTGATGATTCTCCTCATTAGGTCGAAGAGCGAGAAAGTACCAGACAGGAGACAGCTGAGATACTATAAAGTTGTAACCAATGAGTGAGCATAGTTAAAAATATGCATTACTAAACAGTTTTTTTATTGGAGATGTTAGGACAAAGACATTTTCTCATTCTCATAATAACGCTTGCCAAAATCAACAGTACCAAGCTCAGAACGTAAACAGTACGAGGTCGAATGACCAACAAGCTCAAAGACAGCAGCACTCATATGCAGGTGGTACTTCGGTGCAAGGAACTAGGTTGAATCCCGCAAGAAATAGCGAACCTAGACAATTGCCTACGCAGTACCAGAACTTGAATCTGGTCTGACCACCAGACTCAAAATTGTTCCTATCAGTCTCAACAGTCGTCAAGTAGTACCTGCCATTCTCATAATAACGCTTGCCGAAATCAACAGTAGTCAGAACGCAAATAGTTCGAGGTCGATGACCAACAAGCTCAAAGGCAGCAGTACCTGTATGCAGGTGGTACTTCGGGTATAAGGACCTAGGTTGAGTTCCTATCAGTCTCGACAGGAGTACCTGTCAGTATCCGCAGTCACTTAATAACTCATGCCAAAATCAACAGTATCAACCTCAAAACGCAAATAGTGAGAAGTCGATGATCAACAAGCTCAAAGACAGCAGTACTCGTATGCAGGTGGTACTTCGGTGCAAGGAACTAGGTTGAATCCCGCAAGAAATAGTGAGCCTAGACAATTGCCTACGCAGTACCAGAATTTGAATCTGGGATGACCACCAGACTCAAAATTGTTCCTATCAGTCTCAGCAGTCGTCAAGTAGTACCTGCCATTCTCATAATAACGCTTGCCAAAATCAACAGTACCAAGCTCAGAACGCAAATAGTTCGAGGTCGATGACCAACAAGCTCTAAGACAGCAGTACTTGTATGCAGGTAGTACTTCGGTGCAAGGAACTAGGTTGAATCCCGCAAGGAATAGCGAGCCTAGACAATTGTCTAAGCAGTACCAGAATTTGAATCTGGGATGACCACCAGACTCAAAATTGTTCCTATCAGTCTCAAAAGTCGTCAAGTAGTACCTGCCATTCTCATAATAACGCTTGCCAAAATCAACAGTACCAAGCTCAGAACGCAAATAGTTCAAGGTCGATGACCAACAAGCTCAAAGACAGCAGTACTTGTATGCAGGTGGTACTTCGTTGCAAGGAACTAGGTTGAGTTCCTATCAGTCTCGACAGGAGCAACTGTCAGTATCCGCAGTCACTTAATAACTCATGCCAAAATCAACAGTACCAAGCTCAGAACGTAAACACTACGAGGTCGAATGACCAACAAGCTCAAAGACAGCAGCACTCATATGCAGGTGGTACTTCGGTGCAAGGAACTAGGTTGAATCCTGCAAGGAATAGCGAGCCTAGACAATTGCCTACGCAGTACCAGAACTTGAATCTGGTCTGACCACGAGACTCAAAATTGTTCCTGTCAGTCTCAACAGTCGTCAAGTAGTACCTGCCATTCTCATAATAATGCTTGCCAAAATCAACAGTATCAAGCTCAAAATGCAAATAGTTCGAAGTCGATGATCAACAAGCTCAAAGACAGCAGGACTCGTATGCAGGTAGTACTTCGGTGCAAGGAACTAGGTTGAATCCAGCAAGGAATAGCGAGCCTAGACAATTGCCTACGCAGTACCAGAATTTGAATCTGGGATGACCACCAGACTCAAAATTGTTCCTATCAGTCTCAGCAGTCGTCAAGTAGTACCTGCCATTGTCATAATAACGCTTGCCAAAATCAACAGTACCAAGCTCAGAACGCAAATAGTTCGAGGTCGATGATCAACAAGCTCAAAGACAGCAGTACTTGTATGCAGGTGGTACTTCGGTGCAAGGAACTAGGTTGAATCCCGCAAGAAATAGCGAGCCTAGACAATTGCCTACGCAGTACCAGAATTTGAATCTGGGATGACCACCAGATTCAAAATTGTTCCTATCAGTCTCAGCAGTCGTCAAGTAGTTCCTGCCATTCTCATAATAACGCTTGCCAAAATCAACAGTACCAAGCTCAGAACGCAAATAGTTCGAGGTCGATGACCAACAAGCTCAAAGGCAGCAGTACTGGTACTCAGGTGGTACTTCGGTGTAAGGACCTAGGTTGAGTTCCTATCAGTCTCGACAGGAGTACCTGTCAGTATCCGCAGTCACTTAATACCTCATGCCAAGTACCAAGCTCAGAACGCAAATAGTACGAGGTCGACCAACAGGCACAAAGAGAACAGTACCACTAAAGCTCTAATCAAAAACAAGTCACAACTGTGAGTACAACCTAGGCAACACTGAGAAACCACTCCAGTACCCCAAACTCCAAATAAATAGAAGCAAACTCAGTTTACCAAACCTCAAGACCCGACGACAGACTACAAAGTAGTACCCTGTGACTCAGCATAGCGATTTCCAGTTAAGAAGATGCATTTCTAAACAGTTCTTCTGTTCGAGATCTTAAGACAAATATAATATGGCCTCTGCAGACTTTTTAGCTACCCAAAGTACCATCACGGGTACTATCAACCTACTGTGTATCCAATCTACGGGTTTCAGCCTCTATTAAACGCCCAACATCCACCACCTGAAAATAAGAGTACCTCTAGGAACTCGTATGCAGGCAGTACCGCAGTATAAGGAAGTAGGTTGAGTCCTCCGAGTAAAAGAATTTGAATCGAAGGGTCAACGATGTTCAAACACAAAATTATTCCTATCAACAGTCTCAAAATAGTACATGCGAACATCTCTTAATCAACAGTACCAAGATCAGAATGCAAGTAACAACAGATCCAAGGAACAGCAGACAGAACAAAAAAATTATTTGAATTCAAATAATGCTTTTTAGATCTTTGTACTGAAGAACCTTAAAGATAATATTAAATAAATCAAGAATGTGGCATCACGACAGTCCAAGGTTACATGGATCTCGTTCTTTTCGGTGGTTGATCAAATTTTGCTCCTCTTGCCTAAAAATGACTTGAAAATCATAAAAAAAACGTCTCAAAAGTACTTAATTGATCGTGCCCAATTATTGACAAATAAATTGAAAAAAAATATTTGTTAGGTATAGCAAAGACGTAAATCAAATTTGGATCCCAGCGTAACTGCAGCTAAAAGACGTCATATGAATAAATCATAGTTGTTAATACTAGAGAAAAGATAAAGATAACATTACAAATTGAGACCACAGAAACGTGAGAAACGCCAACGTTCTCTGTGGCCAAAATAACATATGGACGAACAATTTTATACTTTCATTTATGTAGTCTTTTGTGTCTTTAAAATTATCACTAACGTCGTGCCAAATTTATGCATATATTGTTGTAAATATAGGTATAATATTTAGTTGCGTGACGTGAATAGATGATGAAAAATATTTCTTTGTGAAAGTAGATAATAAACCATACTGTCATTTTTCACATTCATTGTATATAGCTTTGTATGATTTATTTTCTTTATTAAGTATGTTTGACTTAGTGATGATAATGACATCTCTCAATTTCCAGCATAACTTAATTTCAGACTGTCTGGTATATCATTGCTGAATCATCTAGGATTAAGATAAATCATATAAACTTCATGACGTAGTCAGTATTTGTTATACAATACGATATTTGTTGTTACGGTTTTGTTGTTATACTTCGTAAATAAAAATTGTTTTTTATATAAATACGTTGACTCAATGGTAACTTCTTTCGTCTCTTCTGAACGCCTATTCCTAGCATCCGATCTAAGAACTTGAAACAATGGGAGATGAAAAAGAAGATAATATGGACGTTTCCAGGTAAGTTCTGTGTTCTGTGTGAGCTTTAGAAATTTGAAACAAATAAGACATAATTCTTTAATCGTATTTTCTCAGTGAGCCATGTATGATGACTCACAGCTAAATGGCTTAAACGTACAGATTGGTAATGATAAAGACATAAAAATACTGTATTATTCTGTTGACGCATTAGACGTTCTTGACAACTTTGACATTCCTGACAGGTGTCAACACTGTCAACTTCACTTTCTTAGTTGATGATTGTGTTTTGTGATTTGGATGGCTTTGGTTATTTGATTTCGATTCTCTTTTTCCCATGTGGAACACGTTAATCAATGCCAAGATACCCATTAGAAATGCAAAAAGGCATTGAAGATCCTAGAGCCATCTATCAGACAGTAGTAGAACCAAACTAACTCTTGTCAAATTAGATTTCTAATTTTTGTGTTATGCTACCGTTTCACAGATGGCGTTAATATCTTCTAATATCCTTCTTTGGCTTGGAACGCGTTTCATACAAGAGCCTGTCCAAAAGGAGGACATTTTCAGCAATTCTTTTGATAATTAAATTAAACAGTTTTTATTTAATCCACAGAAATTGTCACAACTTCTTGCAAATTTGTTTTTTTTTAATTCTGATGTGGTAGTTTGTAGGTAAGATGTGTTTTTTTTAATCTTCATCTTAAAAAAAGCCTATTGTTGCATGTCAAATTTCATGAAAATATCTAGAACAGTTATGACAAGAAAACGATTTTTTCTTAAAGTTTGAATGCCCTGTAGCTCAAAATTTAAGAGGTTTAGGATATATGTTCATATAAACTTTTCTTCCTAAAATGAGCTAAGGAATCATATCCTGTATTTTTAGCAATCAATTAAATTACTTCCTATATATTGTTAAACTATTTGTTGTTGTAGTATGACGACTTATTCTTTATCTATATTCCTGCGATTGTGAATAATTATTCTTGTCATTGCGATTTCTCTAAATTGTTCTTTCAGTGATTTCTGTGCATGGTGTGTATTGTATGAAATAGAGACAAAAAAATATTCCTTTACAACGTTTTCTTTTTCCGCAGCTGACTTCGACCGCCAAAGTGGAACGTTGGTTCGAGCTGTTGGAACCCACGTCCATATCGCGTCCAGAAAGCGGGTTCGTGTCCTGCCAGGATCAGGAGGCAGACGAAGACGACGACGAAAGGGCCATTCTGGAGGGTACGAGAAATCTCCTGTCGAAGTTGAGCGCGCGGAAGCAGCGGAAACTGCTTGGCCTGAAACTGGGCAAGGTCACCACCTTCTGATGGTTGCTAGGATGGTGGTGGAGAAGAGGGAAGAAAAGAACGGGGTGAAAAGGCTGATTGTACAGGGTCAGGATCATCATTGTCTATTCTTTCGTGTTTCAGGACTGCATCCGTTGTATATGAAATAGAATATACCTTGTTTGGTGCAAAGTCCACCACCAGTCTGAACTAAATCTGTCTGCTTTCAGTCTGTTTAACCATGACCTTACAACGTTGTTTCATGTTTCTTAGCAATCATCACTACTGTATAGGTCTAGTCTAAACAGATAGATGCCTAATTAACTCGGAGAGGTGACAACATCGACAACTGCATAAATAGTTCGCCAAGGCTTTTGGCCTTGGGGATTCTGGGTGAGCCCATGCGCACAGCTCGTGAGAATACAAAGAAAACTGGTATCTACGTGCCCATTCACTCTCTTACGCGGAAACTGTCACCGTTTGAATCGACCAGTCAGACTCGAGAAGCCCATTCTCGATTCAGAGCCAGGAGATTCCATAGTCGAATCGAAAAAGATAATTGCCAGTCAAAAAATTTCATAGGCCAGTCCAACTAGGGAATTTTGAAATGATATCGCCGTTGCAAACCTTAGGGACCACGATGAGGAAAATTTAGGAGTAATCTTTTCTTGGACAATTGATGACATGTTTAAGAATAATTAATTGTTACATACAGGAGAGGATTGGGCATCTTCCAGAAGAATACATGAACCAATGCTATACATGAACACCAAAAACCTACTTCTCTATTACGTTACTTCGACACACACCTTCCAAAAAAACACTGTATAATTTGAATGTCGTTAAAGAGGTATCAGAGGATAAAATAATTCTTTTTGTTTATGATTCTGATCTAGTAATGCGAACTTTTTGTAAATGACAGTTAGTGTTGTCACCTCTCTGACTTCCCCACCATCTTATACTTTGCAACAAATTTGCAATTATCATAGTTTTAAGTAAAATGACACGACTGTATATGCAAATATATTTGACAATTATATTATTTAATTCCAGTGTTAGTTTAGTTTTTGCGACTGAACTATAGAAGTATATTTATAGCGATAATTATTTTATCTGTCTCTAGGTGCCAATATTTTGGATTATTCAGCTAAGCACAGTTTTTTTGCACAAATGGCAAATCGTTCAAGTTCAACAAGTACAACTATTGACTAACGTATTGATAATGGCAACATAAAAGATTATCGATATATCAAAAGGTATGCGTTGTCGCTTTTTCAGATGGTGCAATAACGGTAAAGAGATCCAATTTTTTTCACGATGACGACACATTTTTTACACCACACAATATAGCATTAATTTCCAAAGACTAAATAAGTAAAAAAGTCAAGACCCAGAAACAAAACCACTTGCTGAGCATGTTAATAATAATATTAAAACGTCTTTTATTAAAGGGCGAAGTTTAGCTTAACCCCTGAAAAAAAAAAGAACTTCGGTCCTCCACGACGGCGGTCAAGTGAAAAAAATCTCTAATCGCTTTCTGGTTGCGTCACGCCGACTCGTGGGCACACACCACGGTAAAGAGATCCAATTTTTTTCACGATGACGTCAAATTTTTGACAGCACACGATATAGCATTAATTCCCAAAGAGTAAAAAAGTCAAGATCCAGAAACAAAATCACTTGCTGAGCATGTTAATAATAATATTAAAACGTCTTTTATTGAAGGGCGAAATTTAGCTTAACCCCTGAAAAAAAAAGAACCTCGGTCCTATCCACGACGGCGTTCAAGCGAAAAAAATCTCTAATCGCTTTCTGGTTGCGTCACGCCGACTCGTGGGCACACACCACGGTAAAGAGATCCAATTTTTTTCACGATGACGTCAAATTTTTGACACCACACGATATAGCATTAATTTCCAAAGACAAAATAAGTGAAAAAGTCAAAACCCAGAAACAAATTCACTTGCTGAGCATGTTAATAATAATATTAAAACGTCTTTTATTAAAGGGCGAAGTTTAGCTTAACCCCTGAAAAAAAAAGAACTTCGGTCCTGCCTACGATAGCGGTCAAGTGAAAAAAATCTCTAATCGCTTTCTGGTTATGTCACGCCGACTCGTGGGCACACACCACGGTAAAGAGATCCAATTTTTTTCACGATGACGTCAAATTTTTGACACCACACGATATAGCATTAATTTCCAAAGACTAAATAAGTGAAAAAGTCAAGACCCAGAAACAAAATCACTTGCTGAGCATGTTAATAATAATATTAAAACGTCTTTTATTGAAGGGCGAAGTTTAGCTTAACCCCTGAAAAAAAAAGAACTTCGGTGCTGCCCACGACGGCGATCAAGTGAAAAAAAATCTCTAATCGCTTTCTGGTTGCGTCACGCCGACTCGTGGGCACACACCACGGTAAAGAGATCCAATTTTTTTCACGATGACGTCAAATTTTTGACACCACACGATATAGCATTAATTTCCAAAGACAAAATAAGTGAAAAAGTCAAAACCCAGAAACAAAATCACTTGCTGAGCATGTTAATAATAATATTAAAACGTCTTTTATTAAAGGGCGAAGTTTAGTTTATCCCCTGAAAAAAAAAATAACTTCGGTCCTACCCACGACGGCGGTCAAGTGAAAAAAATCTCTAATCGCTTTCTGGTTGCGTCACGCCGACTCGTGGGCACACACCACGGTAAAGAGATCCAATTTTTTTCACGATGACGTCAAATTTTTGACATCACACGATATAGCATTAATTTCCAAAGACAAAATAAGTGAAAAAGTCAAAACCCAGAAACAAAATCACTTGCTGAGCATGTTAATAATAATATTGAAACGTCTTTTATTAAAGGGCGAAGTTTAGTTTAACCCCTGAAAAAAAAAAGAACTTCGGTCCTACCCACAACGGCGGTCAAGTGAAAAAAATCTCTAATCGCTTTCTGGTTGCGTCACGCCGACTCGTGGGCACACACCACGGTAAAGAGATCCAATTTCTTTCACGATGACGTCACATTTTTTACACCACACGATATAGCATTAATTTCCAAAGACTAAATGAGTAAAAAAGTCAAGACCCAGAAACAAAATCACTTGCTGAGCATGTTAATAATAATATTAAAACGTCTTTTATTAAAGGGCGAAGTTTAGTTTATCCCCTGAAAAAAAAAATAACTTCGGTCCTACCCACGACGGCGGTCAAGTGAAAAAAATCTCTAATCGCTTTCTGGTTGCGTCACGCCGACTCGTGGGCACACACCACGGTAAAGAGATTCATTTTTTTTTTTCACGTTGACGTCAAATTTTTGACACCACACGATATAGCATTAATTTCCAAAGACTAAATGAGTAAAAAAGTCAAGACCCAGAAACAAAATCACTTGCTGAGCATGTTAATAATAATATTAAAACGTCTTTTATTGAAGGGCGAAGTTCAGCTTAACCGCTGAAAAAAAAGAACTTCGGTCCTACCCACGACGGCGGCCAAGTGAAAAAATCTCTAATCGCTTTCTGGTTGCGTCACGCCGACTCGTGGGCACACACCACGGTGAAGAGTTCCAATTTTTTTCACGATGACGTCAAATTTTTGACACCACACGA